AATTTCTTGATTGATCAAAACTAGTTTCATCTATTTCATCAAGAATTATTTCTGCAAAGAAACTTTCTCAATCTCATCTATTCTTCAATTCTTGATAAATGTTTTCTTTACCAACACTTTTATTAAAGTGTAAATCTCTCTTCATACTTAACTTGTATTATTTGTTAAGAGAGATCATTGGTTGAAAATTGTTGATACAAAGATACAAACTATTTCATTATTCATCAAAATTTACAATATCAACACTTGAACTTTATTATTTGCTATCTATTGAAGTGTTTACCTAACTCTCTAATACTTAACTTGATTATATCATTTGTTAAGAGAGTTTCTTCATTGTAATTTATCACTTATTTCTTGACGGTTTCGAGAGCCTTGTGAAAACTCGATTATAAGGATAGGTGCTCCTTGTTGTAAGTCACTTAAAGATAAGTGCTCCTTGTTGTAAGTCACTTAAGGATTGGTACTCCTTGTTGTAAGTTACCATTATAATGCATTTGGCCTTGCTTGTGACGGAGAGCTTGGTAACGGGGGACGTAGATCATTGGATTGGATCAAACCTCCATAACATATCGTTTACATTCTCTATCCCTTTTACTTAACGCATTTACTTCGCGCAAATTTACATTGTTCCATTTACGTGTTTACTTGTCTTTAGACTATTCTCTATCATTTGTATGCTCACTTATTAAAATTTTGAGTGATTAACGAAAAAGTTTTAATAACCAATTCACCCCCATCTTGGTTAGTTATTCTTGGGCTAACATAAAATTGTAACACCCCGGACCCTATAACCCGATGGTTACTCAAACAATGTCTTTATCCATAAGAAAAGTTTATTGACTCCTAGTGTAATACAAAATTTAAAGAAATATGCGGAAAAAAAAGAAGCTATTTTTATGTCTAATAAAATATAAAGTAATCCAACCCACTATTATAATATAAATCCAATACTTATTTTTAAGAATTCAACATTGATATTGAGAGTTAAATAAATAAAATTCTAATTGTAAAATAATTTTTTTAATACTGAAAAAAAAAATTCTTAAATTTTTTATCCAGCGACACGGAATCTACCAACAATCTCAACCTTCAACCCCGATCAATCAAGCATCTGTAAAAATATTTTAGAATATGGAATTAGCATACACTCCGTACATATTTCTTGCTAGTATTTTCAAATTTAATATAAAAAGTAAGTAACTTACACACATAACATAATTTTTTAGTAGGATAGAAACTAGACCGTCTCATTCTCATACATAATTTTTTTACACACATAACATAATTTTTTAAGTCNTGATATTACCCACAAGATCCTTCTTACTATTAATTTGGATCACATAATAGTACATAAGTTACTTTACATAAAAATTAAAAAGTACAAAATACAAAACCATTTGGAACATAAACAAATCCATACATTGTTCCTTAAATTACTTGTATACATCAAGCTACTTAGGATTGAAAAGTCTTGCTAATCAATCTCGAACGCTTACGAAAGTTTTCTTCTCTCTCTCTGATTTCTGTGGATTTTGCATGCAACAATATAGGATTATTTAATAATTATGAGTCGATTTGGATTTATTACCAACTTAGAATTCTAGTAGGACTCTTCATTAAAAATTTTAACCGGACTTTAACAAACAATCCTTTGATGCATGAAATTCAAATTTAAGAAAAATCCTAACTACTTGAACATAAGATTCTAGAGTGGATATGTGCAAATGTTCAAGATTTATCTAAACACTTTTATATCAAACAATTCAATAACTAATTTAATAGATACCTAAGATAACAATTAAATGTAATTTCATGTAAAATTTATATTTCCGATTATTAGCACAAGGTCCCTAGAAAATGGTAAAGTTGCAAAGTTACCCTAAATTCAAAAAACTTGCACCTATGCCTCATTATATATTGTACGTATGTTCGGGATATTACATCCTTCCCTTCTTTAAAAAAAATCATCATCCAAATTTACCTTGGTTATCAAAGAGCTGTAGATCTGCCTTGCATCCCCATGTGGAATCTTCTATTGCGTGATTCCATCACTAAACTTTTACTAATGGAATTTCTCAATTTCGAAGTATTTGAATCTTCCTATCTAAGATAACTATTGAAGCCTCCTCGTAAGTTAGATTTGAATGAATGTCTAATAAATGAGGATTACTCAGGTGGCCGGGATCTGTTGCATACTTTCGAAGCATAGACACATGGAAAACATTGTGTACTGTTAAAAGTTCAGGATTCAATGTCAACTCGTAAGACACACTTTCCACATGTTTTAAAATCTTAGAAGGTCCTATATATCTTGGTTGGAGCTTTCTTCTTTTGCCAAATCGAGTGACTCCCTTCATATGGCCTAATTTTAGAAAAAACTTTGTCACCAACCTCGTACTCAAGATACTTTCTCCTGTTATCTGCATAACTTTTGTGTTGATCCTAAAAGTCTTTATTTTGGGATTCGAGAATAAAGAAAAGTCGTGATATGTTTACAAAAGGAATATGCAGATGATCTTATCATCACTAGAGATAATGTAGATGAAATTCAATGATCTTAAGGAATCTTTCGATGAGATTCCAAATGAAAGAGCTTGGAGAGCTAACCAATTGCAAACCTTTCGAAACCAATTGAGAGTAACTCCAAGTTATGAACTGATGAAGGCAAGTACTTGGAGAATGCAATCATTTAACGAGGGCTAATGGGAAGCTTACCTGGATCTGACACAACCGATATCACATACACAGTGAGGATAAGAAGTCGCTACATGGAGAACACAAAAAAGCCATGCATTAAAGTAGTGTGACGAATCTTGAGGCACGTAAAAGGAACAATTGACTATGGACCATTAACAAGAAAAATAAAAATTGTAAGGCCGAGATACACATAGATTGACAACTAGGTACGTGTTTGATCTTTGATCTGGTGCAATGTCATGGTGCAGCAAGAGACAAAAATCAATATCTTTAGCAACTGTAGAGGCGGAATATAGGGCAGCAACAATGGCAGCTCAAGAAAGCACATGACTAATGCAGATGATGAAAGATCTACATGAACCGATAAACTATGAAGTGTAGTTATATTATGATAACCAATCAGACATTCAAATAGCGGAGAACCCAGTGCATTATCACTTAAAATTTGCTGATTTTCAAGCACATCTAGGGATGATTAGCATAGAATAGTTAAATCATAAAGTCAGCGTTGAAGGGAAAATTTGAAGGAAGCATCACCGACTTGAGAAGTAAAAAGAAAAAATAAATTCCAGAATTTTCTAGGATTTTGTCCAGCCTTCTTCTCATTTCTTCCTTAATCGACTCTTGCAGGAAAAGAAGAAATTTTTAGATGCAAGCCACCACCATACTAGAAGATTCAATTCATGCCTTTTGCTCCTATAAATAGGAGGTTGCTCCAATGTATGTATTGACGAGAAAGAGGGATTAGTGGAGAGAGAGTAGAGTGAGACATTGGTTAAAAAAAGAAAAAAAAAATGGAAAAAAAGAAGCTGAGTGCATTAATGGTGATTTGATTAAATTCAAGTGAGGTATACATCTGTGATGTTGAAATGAGAGATGTTCGAGGATATTTGTTAATATTATAAAATACATTATAGCGTGATTTGGAGGATATTGGTAATATTGAATAATAAATTGTCGATGATTTGATTATTCATAATTGGAACATTTTTATAATTTGTTTTTCTTTCTTTGATTATTGCCTCATCCTTTAATAAGGCAACATTACTGTAATGTGACTATATAAATTTGTGTCATTGTAAACTCCAAACACAGAACAATACAATCTCTTATCCCATGGACGTAAATTTGCTAAATTCTCGTGCTTTTCTCTATTAGTTTTTTTTTTATTGAATTCTTCGTGTGTATATAACACACGATAAAATTGTATGTGACAAATTTTGTAATTATTAAATTCAACATATTAATAGTCCATACGTGATAAAATAATTGTTATGAATGAAGTAAGATAATTGCAAAATAAAATATAGCCCATGTTTGGCCCCCATTAAATTTCATTACATTACATTAAATTTTTCACTCTCTTCATTACAACCACACATTTATCAAATAAAATAATATTACATACAAATCTAAAATTTTTCATTACTTTTGCACCACACATTCTCCCATCAATCACTATTCCAAAAATTTTCAACCATAAAAAATGCACAATAATGGGAGCCAAACCCCTATATTAATCACAAACAAGAATAACAAGATTTTAAGTGAAAATTCAAGATGAGAAAAAACCACACGCAAAATAGAATTCACTAGATTAAATCAAGATCAATGATTGTTGTTACAAGATTTGATGCACTCTCAATCAAATCTAATGTGTTTCTAATGTTATGAAGAGTTTACAAGTATGTATATATATATAT